AACTTATGGAATGATTTCGATATTTTAGTAAATTGACCATATTTTTTTAAAAAGTTATACAGCCACGACAAAGATTAATAACTATGAAATATAAATCTCTTAATTTAAAGACAATCTTTATTATTTGAAAGCTGATTTGCTACAAATAAAAAGGTTTTCTTTTATTCATTATTTATTAACTTTGAAAAGTTTTCATTTTTCTCTAGCTGAAATAGATTAGAATAGATTACTTTTAAAATTTTTTATGATCAGAGCATTGAGAATACACAAGTTCATAGTTTAAAAATTAAATTAAGATAAAGTTTTGTGTTTTTAAAAGTTGATTTTGTGAAATGATGATGTTCTATTTGAGTTACATTACATTTGGATAAACTATTGGACAACTTTAGTAATTTTTTCTTCTTAGGAAGTTTTTCATTTGTTAAAATAGTGCTTAACAAGTTAAAATCGCTGATGAACTTTGGCATCACTCGGTGGACTTTGCCCGCGAGCGAGAATAACACACAAGTCCGGTGGTCATGCCCATAAAAGAGAGCTCCCAAGAGAAACCCCCGAAGAGAGAGGATCGGGGAAAGAGAAACGCCCTGAGAAAGAGCTAAAATGAGTGCAAGTGGCACGTGTTAATACATAATTAATATTATTCGATTATTATATACCACATATATACTTATATATTAAAATATAATTATTATTTTTATTATTAAAAGAGAAGTAACCAAGAAGTTAGTATATAATTTATAACTAATATTATGTGATTATTATATTATAATGTATATATATGTATATATTATAACATACTTGTTATTATTATCATTGAAAGAGAAGTCCCCAAGAAGTTGGCTTAAACCGGCAAAAACTGGCTGCCAAAAAATAAAAAAGAAAGAGAACCAGAAAAAGTAAATACACATGCCGTAACGCTACGATGGACTGTCAAAAAGTCTATTCCAAATTTAGAATAACTCCACCGTCGTTTTCCCTTTCCAATCCCCAGACTTCTCCATTGTAGTAACATTATTCGGGTGTCAGAGACCCCCGTGGCCGATAACGTTTTATCAAACAAATGTTTTGTCGCCGACCTGTTTGCGAATCAAATTTGAACTAGATATATGGGTGCAGTACACAGAGAATATATCTACGTCGTACGATTCGTCTGAAAAGCGCTAGTAAATCCATGTGATAAATAGGAAATTATATATTGAAAAGGTCGTGCTGTTTTTCAAAGGTGTCAATTCAATCACAATTTATCATTCGTGAACGATAATACAATTAATAGGGTTAAAGTTCCACTCTCTTCTAATAGCCATATATAAATGTAAGCTTAGTTTTAACACTGTAAAAACATTATTTGGTTTAGATTCATCATTAAATGTTAATTTGATAGCAATAAATTCAATAAAAGAGACCATTTAAAATGTTCAAAAATGTCTGGATATTAACAATCAAAAATGTTTTCTATTGGTAATAAATTAATCAAAAAGTTATTATTTGATTAGCACAATAAAATCAAAGGAAATGTAATCATCTGTGTCAGTTATTATTTATTAACAAATAATAAAATTTAATAGTCGTATATAAATCGGTATTTTATTTGATAAGATTAGTGGAAATAAACAAATCCGAAACTACTTAGTAATGTGTAATGTAACAGACATATCAATTAGGTTATGAATAGTTGACCATATTTATTTTTTGAGAATTTTAATAATATCTTAGTAATATATTGAATATTATTATTATATATATTATATATTACTCCAAATCAAACCTATGGCGGTTACTGTATTATCTTCGAATACACGAATAAAAACAAACATATTTCGGCGATCTGAAGCTGACCAAATGAAGGTATAAATATTTGCGGAATGTCATGAATTGTCGAAATTGAGATAGATGGGTTTGTTTGATGTTCCCTGATGTTTACCCCATCGCTTCAAAGCAGCCGACTCTTCCATGAGGAATATCCCCAATAAAGTGTTACGAAACAGATAAAGATATGGATAATGTGTGTGGGAGGTGGCAACAGGTGATCTCGCATTCTTGGGAAATGTTGGCGCTGTTTGCCCGTTGGCAACAAAGTTGTCAACGGCTTTTGAATAACAGGTTCTTGAACGCTGTTTGAACAGTACTTAATTTGGGCCAAATGCCGGGGATCTTATTTCATTTTATTCCACTATTGTTTACGCCACACAAACACCTCGCCAAGATAATGGATTCGGCTGAGAGATTCGTGGTCTATCAGTTACTCAATATATCGAATCTTTAACCAACCAATTAGCGCCACAAAACGATTTTGTCGCCAAAAAAAAAACTAATAATCATAAATAAAAAAAAATTAAGCCCAGAAGTCTGGATCACACATGCGGACGTTTAATTTATTATGATCATTAGCCAAAAAAATTGGAATGCGGCTGAAAGAGGAAAAAAGAAGCTAACACCTCAACGCTTGCTTTATCATTTTGGCTCATTTTGTCAACGGCTGAAATATACGGCACGAATAAAATAAACAAATGCGAACTGACGTCGCTACATGACTCGCATTATTTCGCCAAAGCAATTCGCTCGACTTTTGTTGCTTTTTTTTTTATTCAAATGCGCAGGCGCAAAGTCGCGTGCCGCTCTGGAATCGAAGTTGTATAATGCCCGATACCAATCCGATACGATCTCCAGATCTTTGGCATGCACAACACATAGCGACAAGTGCCTTGGCATTAATTTGAAAAAGAAAAAAAAAAGCGAAAATGGCAAACGAAATCAAAACCCAATTGTCATTGCCAATAAAATGGAATCGCTGCCAAAAAAAATTGGACGAGCTTGAGGAAGTTCTTAATCAAAAAAGCCACCGAAAGGTGAAAACCTTATTATGAATTTTATTTAATTATTTATTGAACTTTATATAATTAATACTTATTAGTCATATGGGGAATTCATTTTTGAGTAACACATATTTGTTAATATTCATAAGAATTTGAATATTATTTAATCATTTTTTTAATTAATATATATGTATTTATATTTAAAGTTTTGTATAAGTCATTTGGGATTTGTTTAGATATTGTTTCTAAATTCACTGGTTTTTATATATTTAAAAAAATGAATTGCCCAATTGTAATCCTGTTTTATCTATTAAACTCAAATTAAAATACAGTATATCGTGTATAAATTACAGAAAAGTATTTATATCTGCGACAAAACGAATGTTATAAATAATACCCGACAATTTTCACAAATAATTATTACGTTCTGCTCCTTTTAATTACTTTTCCGCTTATCATATCCTAGTAGAAAACTACCTGTAATATCAAATTGCCATAATTACACATATCAATTAAAAGCGTTTCCCATTCGTTTGCCAATGATATGAATTAATATGCCACAATTCGGCCTAGCCTTTTACCCTTTATGCGATTACCTCTTTCAATAACACCAGACGATGATAGTAATTACGGCAAGCAAATACGAATTCGCATGCCATTCGCCTGGATTTCTGATGGTTTCTCTGTTGGCCACAACAGGATATATCAAAACAATGCCATGTCCTTCCTTAATTTTCATTTTCCCCCAGTGCGTGTGCGAGTGTGTGTGAGTGTATGTGAGTGTGTGTGAGTGTGTGTCTGAGTGTGTGTGAGTGTGTGTCTGAGTGTGGGGCTTGCGGTTTGTTGTTGCAGCCCGGAAATGGCAAGTGAAAACATCCAGCTCAATTTGTTAGCCTCGGGGATGCAACTCAGTTCTGAGGTCGGGTCAAAGACAAGGCTTACTAGAATACCTCACTATATTTTACACTGAAAAAAAATATGCCTATAATGAAGGCGGTAAAAACAATGAAGACAAAAATAGGGTTGATTTATACTAATGCACATAACAGATAAGATCTCTATTTTGTGTTTATTGAGCAAAGATTGTTTTTTTTAGTATCAAAAATATTTTTATTAATTTTCAAAAAGTAAATAAAAATGTAGCTTATGTTTTTAAAAATATATATTTTTTCAAATATACTTTTGTTGTTTATTATAATAGAATTTCCTTAAAAGTTAGACACTTGGTGAATTTTAAAAACGAACATGTATGTACATGTATAGGCACATAGACACGTGCGACTACTTTACCTGGGAAAAGAATGAGAAGAGAATTATGATTTTGATTATTCCAAATCCTAATTTGTGTGCTGATATTCGTAGCCGTAGAGGAATTTTGAACGACACAAGTTGTGAAGAGTCATTTTGAAATGTGTTTCAATCCACTTAAAGTTAAATATGTGGTTTAATTTAGTTAGTTGAGGAAATTCTAATTATACTTGAACTGGTTTTCCCTAATTGATACATTTCAATCGATATTTCAGATGGAACCTGTAACTATTTTAGTTGCCTAATGTAGATGTGTTTAATATCTAGTTTCATGGCTTAAATCATTTTTATGCATACGAAAAAGACGCCTTGGCCAAGTTTTTACTGCATTAGGGGGATTTTTTTTTGGGTTTATCGATTGAGTCCCTCATATTCCGCATTCAGACCATAAAGTACAGTACATGTATGTGCGCCCATATAAATGTATGTACAAAAGATATAGATACCCGAACACGGTACTTAGTGTGTGTAGAATAAGCCACAACAATTAACAATTGAAATTGAAATTGATAAGAAATTTTTAATTACGCCGGCATCGTCGCACTCGCCGAATTGCAAATGGGTTTTTTTTTCACTCTTTTTATTCTACATTTTATGTTTTTATTTAAAATTGTATTTTTCTGGTGCTTTTGTTTGGTTTTATCTGTACTACTGAAATGTTGGTCTAATTACCGACGGAATTATAGAGGTCTCACCTGAATTACCACCCCCAAAAAGCCCCCATATCGGAATGGGTGCGATAATCGAGCTGTTAACATATTGTTTACATTTTCGATTTGCTGTAACTATTAATCAAATAGAATCGATACCTATTTGCACACTTGTTGGCCATTGTAATCACACACACACACACAATGTTTTTGCCTTCTTTTTTTTTAGTTATCACCTTGAAGGAGCTTATCAATTTTGCGTGCACATAATGATGTTATCTTGGAAATTACTTAAGTTTAGTTCAATTTAGAGGTGAGTCCATCGTTTACATTTGTGATTTAAGTCTTTTTAAGTGGCCACACTTTGCATTTTGTATTATATATTCATATCCGGTTTCAAGTATAAGTTTTGTATACTAACATAAATTGTATATATTTAGCAGAAAATAAATTAATTGTAATACATAGTTCGAGCTGTCGCAAAAACAGCGTTCTGAATACAATGTTTCCGCTTAACTTGTCTTCGGCTTTGGTTCACCGCCTTCGACCAGCAGTTAAATTGAGTTTTGTGGTTAGGCACCCTTCTAAACCGACTTTGTAATTGCGCGCGGACAAAGTAATTAATTAAGTTCGGCTAATGCGTACGTTAAGTAAGTAAAACCCGCAGATTGACATAGTTGCGCCCACGAAAACAGCAAATACTTGGAGTTGCCGGGTGGTAATGCACCTTAATACACCCATTAATCAAGGGCATAATAGAATACGCTTTGAATACGTCTGATTAAGTCCTCACTTCTGACAATGAGAGATGATGGCACACCCAGTGGAGATAATAATGCAACCAATCATCTTTATTGGACAAATTATAAAACAAATTGGAGCAAAAATAATCTATTTATTATATATACATTTGAATATCTTTTCTTTTGATTTGATGTATGATAATTTTGTATTTAATTTATAATTTAAATTTTATCACTTTGTTTTGCTCCCAATCAATTTTATTTGCTTAAGTTCTTTGACTTTTGTTTTAGTGCTAGAAATTTCTAATATGAATCAAATGTCTGAGATAAAAAAGAGTGTTGTTTGTGTTTCTTTAAATTCGCATTGCTTTTGATTTGCTCTTCAGTCGAGTTGCTATTGGTAAAAAGGAAAACTTTAAGCGAAACTATATTGTATTTTTTATTTTTCCACCCCTTTTAGTTTGTCTGCTGTTTTTTATTTTATTTTCCATCGTGGTATTTAATCATTTGTCATAGCATCGCACCGAAGTTCTGCCATTGTTGTCGCTGTCTTTGTCTGATGTTGCTGCTGTGTTGCAATTTCTGTTGCTGTTGTCGGTTGTGTCTGTTGCATTGTTGTCAGCGTGGGGTTGCGTGTTCATTGACGTCACAGGGCTGAGGCGGTGGGAGGGGGGATTGGTGTGGCCGAGGGGTGGTGTTGCATGTTGCACGCACACACAAACAATATGGCCCCCACTTTGTGTCCAGCACTCAAGTAAGCAGGTCAGCGGTTCTTGCGGTTTAACTCACTTCGAAAGCACCACCACCCCAGCCGCCCACCACCCAGTTGCACCACCCACACTGCACCACCCACTTTGCACCACCCACACTGCAACTCGGTCAGATTGCGGTTCGGTTCAAGTTTTCCCACAACACCCCAACCGCACCGCCAAAACCCAAAGCCAAACCCAAAAGAACCCGCGATTATGTAATTTAATTCGCACATTTTTCGTCAGCTTAAAATGGAAATTGATTTTCTTTCATGATGCGTCTCCAGGTGGCCAAGGTGTTGGCCATACAAAAAGCAAGAAATCAATTTCAATTAACCAAATACATATGCCAACGGAGCGCAAAAGTAAACAAGCCGATAAATGAATAAATACATATGCATGAAACAGAACCTGCAGATGAAACCGAAGAAGAACTCGAGCTGAGTCCGCATCCGAATCCCTGGACCGCAGTCCATAAATTTCCCAACCATCCGCAGTGTTCTCGCTTTCGCAGAGTCAATCGAAATGAAAACGAAGTCGTTCCAATAATAATTAAGAATAAATAAAAGTTAAACACTTTCCAAAATGTTCCTTTTCAAGGTCTTAAAAATAAATTTATGAAATTAATTTGTTCATTTAATAATATTATATATATATATTTATATATTATATATATAAAATCTTTATTTTCTAATAACACAGAAATAATACAAATTTTAAATGGTCAATTTTTTGTATGACAACTAAACTTGGAACTTCATGCAAAATCTTCTTATTATATTATCATTTTAAATTATAGTTTTAAGTTTAGGAGAGCACCTTAACTAAGGGTAAAACAATTTTCATAAATTTTTTATTTATTTCACCAAGCAATCAAAATGAAAAACATTTTGTGATAGAGAAGCACAAAACAGGGACTCACATTTTGTTTTTCCGTTTTTCAACTTTCTAACCAAAATCACCCAATTGGGGATTTCCTTTATTCCCTTGCTTATTGATATTAGAGAGGGGCTTTCGGGGATGGGAATATGGGAATGGGAATGGGAATGGGAATGGGAATGGGATTGCTACCCCCCGTTTCTCGCGGTGTGCGGCTTGTTGACTTGCCACGCTAATAATTGCCAAGACCGCGCGAGGAAAGGCAAACAAATTTACAAAACTGGCAGTCCGTCCGTCCGAAAGTCAGTCCGCCGTAGTCAGCAAGTCTGGCAGTTAGCGCCTCAGTCGACGGCTACCGGAAAAGTCACGTTTTGCATTTGGGTTTCGCTTTTTGAGCCACCTCTGGCCTCCTTTTCCCGCGACTCTTACTTTCCTGTTTGTCTTGATGCGCTGTAAGTGACAGATGATAATGCCCGGGGAATCTGGTTGGGCCAATAAAGCTGGTCATAAATATCGGAGACACTTTGCTAAAGTATTTAAATTCCCTCCGAAATTGTTTAAATACGCTTTAAAAGAATATTTAGTTAGTTACACGTTAGGAACTAAATCACCAACATTTTTCTGCCATAAATATTCTTACCTTAAAGACCTACTTGTTGGGCTTTCAAATTCTATTAACTTAAATCAAAATATGCAGATTGTTACTACTTCTTATCAACAAAAATATTATAGTGACCGGATTTTATGAAATTCTGTTATTCTTATTATTAAATAGTTATTTTACTTTTTTTTATTACTAAAACTTATTGTAAAATAGAGATTAAGATTAATATGCAGTAGGGATAAATACCTAATGGAAAATTATACTATAATTAAAATATTGATGAAAACATAAAGTAAAGATAAGTATAAAAAAACTAAATTCATTATTGTGTTCATAAATAATCATAATATGCTTTCTTAGACATAAATGATTACCTGGAAATATAGTCTTAAGAATCGTAGTTTTATGAAATACAAATGGCTTGCTTAATAACCCTTGAAAGGGTATCCAATAGTGCGACAATCCTCCCTCGAATTAAGCATCCTGCTCTTCTCGCTTCCGACTTGTTTACCTTTTCGAGATGTTCAGATCGCCTACGCGAGTGAATTTTTCCGTTGGCGCTGGTTTCAGGAATATCTTATTGCACGAGCGAGTGTGAGTGTGCTCATCATGAACAATAGAAAGGCATAAATGTATACTATGGGTTGCTGATAGCTATCTTTGCGGAAAAATGCCAGTGACAACATTGCGTATGCGCAATTTCTGTGCCACAAGAGATGCAATCTCTCTATCCGGCCATTCGATTGTGACTGCTGCAAAAAGGATATTGCAGTATGGCTGTATTTGACTGTGCATAAGTGTGTGTGTGAGTGAGGAGAAAGGGGGGGTGTTGGGGGTAAAAGAAATGCAGACAAACAAAACCCAGAATACCAAGCTCAAAAATGCTGTGGCTCAAAAATGTTTTGACTTTTGTTTACTTAAATGTAACTGTGTGTTAGGGTGTGTGTGAGAATGAGTGTGTGTTGTAATAATTCAAAGTCAAAGAGCGTTTCATTTTGAATTTTCCTTGAGCGTTTCTTTCGATTGGGTTGCAAATACCGGAATCGGTATTAAAAGCCAATTTAGGACTTGGACTTTCATCTCGACTATTTTGCAAGGATATTTTCTTTTGCTTTAGATTCTGATTAGACATAAAATTCGAATTTTAAAGATTTAATTTTTAATGTATACAGGTAATTATTCAAACATTTTGTTTAAATTGTTTGCAGTTACTAAAAACTTTTCAATTCAATTAAAAATATTTTATTTGCTCTGCATTTTCTGAAGTTTTTTTTGCATTTTTTTATATAAATAAATTTGTATTTAATAATGTTTATAATTATTTTTGACCAGCTTGTCTTCGCTAAATTTGCCATTTGGTGACTGCAGGCAAGGCAGGTGAAATATTGTTCCAACACCAATGACAGCATTAATTTCCGACACTCACACATATAAACCTACTCACACAGATACACACACATACAGACACAGTCAAGGATATATCAACTAATTCACTCACATTCACATTTAAGGAACCGAGAGCCATGACGTTGTTTCGGTTAATTTTTGCTGCCTGTCACTGGACATGCAAAAAGGTATTTTAATATATGTCAATGTTGGGTTGCTTGTGTGTGTGGTTATTTGCTGGCGCCTATGTGTGTGTTAATTGAGTTTATGTAATCAAAGATTTGCTTTGTTGTGGTTTTGACAGCGAATATTTCGATACCTTCATACCTCTCGACCGAAAAATATAATCATCTAAAATAGTTGAATGCCAGTGCTCTTGGGTGAACATAAATGAAGTTTGCATAGATATAATTGCATTGTTGTTTTGCAGTAGAAGAACTGTAATTAGCAAAAGTGCTTTTGAATTTTATCGGATTTTCCATTGTGTAAAATTTGCCCTGCTTTGTGAACTCATTTAAACTTTATTTATGCACTTTATTTATTTACTTTTTAAAAGAATGTTTCACAGAATCATTTGCTTTTTATTTATTCAGTCATTTATTTCTTATTACCAGAAGCTGTTCATCGTTACATCAAAATCTTTAAATTCTAACGAACAAATTAAAAGTGAGCAATTATTTTTAGAAAAAAAGTGGTTTATAGTTTTTAAAATTATCTTTAATATCGTTTTACTTGTCTTTTATTTTTTTTCTTATCGTATTTTATTCGTTTGGCCTTTGGTTTTAAGCTTAAAGTTTCGTCAATTTATTTTATTCTCTTGGAAAAGTTCACGTTTACTTAAGAGTTTACTGAAGGATTTCCCCTTTCGTTTTGGCCTTCCTCTTCGTAGTCTAAATGTGGGCATACGTGCAGTAGTTTTTCCTTTTCGGACATTTTCATAATGAATAATATT